TAACAGTCATGGCAGATCACGTCTTTAAAATCAGTTCCGTCCGAAATTGCACACTATTATAATCCCTCTCTATAAATCTGGGGACAACGTCCAGTCGCGACGCCTAAAGAAGTCTTTATGGTCTTCCTAGTTGACGAGACCGACAGAGCGCTTGAAATCACTGTGACCGTTAAATAGAATTTTAAAACGCAACAAGTGCTAATTACATGTGCCACTGGACGCCGACAGCAAGCAAATCGTTTTCTAGCAGAAAAGTCCTGGCGAATTGGGAGCGACGGCCGGGAGCAATCTCATACAAATCGGACCCATAAAAGTTGAAAGTACTCGGACCTTAACCAAAGAAAAATTTGGCCTTCTTCCAGAAAAAATAATGAAAATACACGTTGAATTTGACCTTCGACGGAATAGGTGGATGCATCTCGGATTAGTTTGTTTAACAGTTGCCTTTGAAAGTGATCAAAATGTGCAAGAGTTGTAGTTCATTCAAACATGGACCCTCTGCGTCGTAGAAAACAGCTGAAAATAAAAGATATAGGGGTTATCAAAATGGTCGTCAGACAGGGTATTCACAAGCAGTGTTGGTACCATATAGGGTTCTACACTGAAAGCCGATCAACGACGTTTCTGTTGCTCAGATTTATTATAACACATCACCGACTATAGAAAAGTTTGGTTCCAAAAAACCAAGTAGACCGCCCCAACGACTAGGTTCCACAAATTAAGAATGTCACAGTACAGAGGATTAGGCAACTTTAAAGTGGCGTTGTTTGGAGTAAGCAAGGTAGTGCTCTTCGAACGCGCAACAAATCAACATCGAAATTCCATATCAAAAAACCCATGAAATGACCATACCCGCGGACTCGAATGAGATAAAGCACCCAACAGGCAGGTATCATTAAGCACCTTCACAGTGCGAAAGATTTGCGAGAATGCAATAATTGCACTTCTTTCGAAGCGCGTAGACAATATCGAATCAACGACATTATAAATTCGTTGAAGATAAGCCTGTTGAAAGATTTCTAAAATCGACTTTACTCAAAGGTTACTGCACACCGGCCCCCAGGTGTGTTTTTCTTCCAGCATGCAAAAATTTCTTGACGCTATCTTTACAGGCGCGTGTCGTAAACTCCGATGCTGCCCGTAGCATTCAAGCCCGATCTACCGGGGCTGCTGCACAAGAACTTCTGACGCACACTAACCTCTGCGAGGCGAGACCTGCCGACAGAAACACCACTGCGGACGCGCGGCTGGCCGCAGAGCAGAATCGAGTCGGCTCCGTCGGTGCTCTGTTGGGCTACCATGATAGGACTCTAAACGGATCGCAACCTTCACCTCCTCAAATATCGCAGACTTCCCTTCGTCTGACAAATACAGAGGCTAGGACCTTTGCGGAACAGCAGAGAGACGGTGGCACGATGCGAGAGCTGATGATGACAGGCTAACACTAGACCACGAGGCGACCACTCCCTGTGTTCCAAGAGCCCAGCAACAGCATATCATCATGCCAAACAGTCGACCTTTATGCAATTCTGCACGAAATCATTTCTCACTTAATTATCTGTCTTTTAACTACCAATGCATGTTTTAAAATGTATATTTAGACTTAACTGTGCACTCTAAAGTTGAATGAGGAAAAAAAGTTGGCAAAGGTCGGTTACGTTGTACTACTCCTAAGTGTAAACGCAATATGGGCGCCAAAAGTAAAGTAGGCCGAAAGGGGATGCTGAAGTCGTTAGGAAGGATAGTAGTCGAGGCTGAACCGGAAAAAAACAACCTGATGTATGACAAATCTCCCGCGAGATTGAAGGAAGGTTAGACTTCCCACAAAAGACGTGGCTGTCAGGACACGCGGGACAGCAATGCCCCAAGCCTAACGGTAAACCTAACCGTAGCCTCAAAACTACACCTTATCCCTGACGAATTTATAAACCTAACGCTAAATCTAAATTTAACACTAAACACGACCCTAAACCCGCCAAAAGCCCTAGCCCTAATCTTAAGCATAACCTTACTTCTGACCCAAATCCTAATCCCAGCCTTAACCTTAATCCTAACCTTAAGTGTAACCCAAACTCTAGCCCCAACTTTAACCACAACCCTACCCTAACCCTCACGCCAACTCTACCTCAACCTTAACACTAAACGCAAACCTAACCCACAATCCAAACCCTAACATTAACCGGGGCACTTAAACTTAGCACAAACCCTTAACCTAGACTCAATTCTCAGCCTGACACTAGCCCAAACCCTAAAACGAACTCTACCTCCAAACCGAAACACCAGGTTGCCCTTTTCTGCTTTAGCTTTGGCTTCTTTCCCACTAACGATTTCATCATCCTCCTTTGGCTTACTTTAGTTGCAGTGCCCACATTGCGCTTACACTTGGGGACCAGGACAGCGTAGCCGACCTCTGCCCAAAATTTTCTGGAAGTTCTTAAAAACGTTCGAACCTCCTTTAAAACGCATCTTTCCTAAAAGTAATGTCACAGCTGTTAAAGACATGAGTTTACCGTAACTATCGTTTGTGACCCCTCTCTCCCATGTGCTTATCAAGAGAAGGTTGATGTCAGAGTAAATGTGGCCGGCTGTAGTTGCAAGGGACATGCGCCTCCGCAGGACTTGCGATAACTGTGTGTCCGAATGTCAGTGTTCGGGCGCTTGGCATCTAAATGAGATCCGGGCCCTTGTACGACACGTCAGACAGCGGCTTTGCGTCACACCATCCACCATATCTAATCTCATACTCAGTCGGTTTGCCTCGGTTAAGCCGAATAGTACATTTGGGAGGTAAAATATAGATAGGTTGACATCTCGGATTGGCCGTTCAGCTTTCTACCATAAAAACGTTCCTTAGACTATAACTACCCGCGGCCAGTCGTGGCATGGAAAACCAGCAATAGATGAGATAAGCCAATCGTACACAGAACTGCAGACTAAGCCGCAGCGGTTCCTCCTTACTGTGGTCTACATGGCATGGATCCCCTCTAGTTCTGAAGCTTGGCTTGTGGACAGCTAGAAACCAGCTAATAGGGAGCGAAGAGGCAAGTTCCAGGAAGTAGTCGCGAAAAAGGAGGCACGATCGCTGGAACAAGAGCTTTATTAGTCTGACGTTTCGGACACTCACTCGAATTAATGAACAGAGACAAAGTCCGATAAGGGTGGCAAATGGCCGGAATGTCGTAGTATTTATAGGGTGTAGTTGCCAGGCCACTACACACTTATCACAATTGGCAGATCCCGAGTGCATCAAGACTCGACTGGCCAGGCGTTGAAGCATTCAGGTGACCGGCACACAGGCGTAAAGCAACTGCATACTTCAACACCTGGCCAGCCAAGCCATGATGCACTCGAGAGCTGCCAATTGTGATGGGCATGTAGCGGCCTAGCAACTACACCCTATAAATACTGCAAGATCTGGGCAATTTACCATCCTTATCTGACTCTGTTTCTGATGATGGATTCGAGTGAGAATCCGAAACGTCAGGCTAATGGGACTCCTGCTCCAGCAATCGTCTCTCCTTCTTCGCAGGTAGAAACCAAGTTGCGTGTGCCCCTGGTAGGCGGGCTAAGTAATTTTACAAAACCCTGAGAACACGCCCACCTTCAGCCATGTTGACTCTACCTTTTCAGTGAAGTATGGCTAGTATGAAAATAGACAATGAGAGTGTAGGTCTACCTCATCATAAATTTTCGAGCCAGTCAGCACCACGACATCGAGACGGGGGGGGGATTGCCATGGCTTGCGACTGCAGACCTATTGTTTGGCCCAGACGGGCCATGTTCACACCCGAATTTGTGTTGGTTGGTTAGAATGAATGGTCCTGACTGGCGCGAAAGTGCTGTTGTACCATGCAAGCTTTATCCTGGAAGGCAACTGAACTGACATGATAGAAGAGGTGTAAGCATCCTACGGAGCCATACAATGCCAGACACAAAATGAGGAAGCTCAGAGCATAACTGTAGCAGCCGCTCCAACGCCCCCCTCCTCCGGCTCCTGTTTGTCAGTCGACGGCCGCGACAACCGTGCTAATCTGCAGGCAGACCTCTACCGCACGGCCATACTCAGGCGTGGTCTAAAGGGCCTCCTGTCCAGCTGCGCCGTCACAACTGCGCCCACAAACTGGTGCCATCTCAAGCACATCGGTCGTCGTCGCCTGTCACCCCCAGGCTCGCGTGATCATACGCGTCCTACCCCCCCCCCTCCCCCATGGGTTAACCAATCAGGTGTTCAACGCTTAGGTAGGCACGTGCTTTCGCTGGCACATGTCAGAGTCGCGCCAACACCACATCTCCCCCTACCTGCTACCGGACGGACGCCTTGGTCTGACACACAAACGGCCAAGTCACAGCCACCTGTCCTGTATGCAAAATAAATCGGTTAAAGTTGATCTAATATCCTTGACTGCCACACAGTAAGATAAATGGTGGTTTCCATTAAGAAAGTACAGGGTCTTCCCAGCTCTGTAATTTAAGAAAGTATATATCTACTTTAAAATTAAGGGTTGGGGTATGGTCTGCCCAAAGCGATGCAGTCATAAGTGACCGTTGCAGTCTCCTTCGTCGTTATAGGTATTCCTTCTACGAGACTCTATGTCCGATCATATTGCTTAACTAGGGTTTCAACCTCCTCATAAGAAAGTAACAGGATTCCAATAAACATCGGCTTAGAATTAAGGTTGGGGATCTTTCCCTCAAAAGCTTTCAGATTCTGGATTCTTCGCGTGCCACAAAAACGTGACCTTTAAAATGGCAACTGATGAGAATTTCTAATAGTTAGGCCTGTTGTTTCATCAATGCTGTCAAAAGTAACCAAAAGCGCCAGCCCTGCTGTATGCCTGAAGGTATGGCTTTTCGAGGTAACCACGATCAGTTATTGCACGGACAAAGACCACAATGATTTAACAGTTTCACCCGTTAACGGCACTCTCGCTTCCTCTTCTGACTTAAAATACTATTTTGAAACAGTTTCCGTTCGAGAGGTATAAGTCAAGGTACTCAAATCAAAGCAATTTTGTTTTTGAAAGCTCCGTCCTTTGAGAAGCCAAATTTGATTGGTATTTTTTCATAATCAGTCGAAGAGCAGAAACCTCCCGATCGATGCGTTTCAGGTTTTGATTTAGACGGTCCTGCAAGTAAGACGAAAAGTTTTGTTGTTTAATCACATCTGAATGGGTTTCAAAACTTGAAACTATTGATTTTTAACCCCGTAAATGGACAGAAAGTGCACAAACTTGTCAACGGTAAATTGACATCACCAACTTTTAAATCCTCCGGCATAAGGCCGGGGTAAACTGCTGACGAGGTCAGCACATGCTGCACTTTATAAATTGGCAAGATATGAGCGTCTAGTTCATCCCTTTGAGTTTCAGGTATCCCAGTGGTTCGCAGATCAGTGGACAAGGCGCCGTGTAAACTACTTCTTGACAAATGTGGGAAGTGGTTGTTTATCGTATACGGTTGCTATATGAGTGAATAAACTTATTTCTTTGGTACTGCTGTGAAATGAGATTCTTCGTAGACGCAGTGCTGTGTACCCACACTCTTTAGCCATCAATGCTAAATATGTATTTATGTGAATCTGATGATGTCCATCTTTGACGCATCCAATCCATTCTCCATGGTTGAGAGACACTAGTCTTTAAAATGTTGAAGGGGCTGCAGCCACAAAGACCTAGGTGAAGGGCGGTAGCCATTGTTAGGTTCTCCGATCAGCCAATGAGCAGTTGTTGGACGGGGTGATAATAATGCAGTTTGATCCTCGGTCACTTTCTTGACGTTACAATTCGACTAATGAAGTAGGGGCTTGGTGGAGTTGAAGTAAAGTGTAGGCGATCTAACTGACTTCATGTCCCTTATCCAAGGGCCGTCTGAAGTGTTTCAGACCTGGGCTTTTGCATTCAGCAGAAACCGTCAATAGGTGCCTTCTATGGACAGGACAGTATTTCATCCTTTGCACAGAGGTGTACCGTAGCGAAAACCGAAAGTGAATTCTCCTTGTGACCCAGCTTTAGCGATGAGTCTTATGCACGACTGCTCCTAGTGAAGAAGTAATTATCAATCGTCTCAGATATTAGCCATATATATGGCACCGTTAAGAGCGGTGCCCAGGCTGTCAGAATTGCGACTTTACTAACTGGTTTAGCGCGTTCTTCGGTCACAGAATTACATTATATCAGGATGTCGCATATTTCGCCTCGCGCTACGGGGGAAACTTCATGTTTCTCCTAACTGTGGGAGATTCCGGCGTGCAACAGGGGATGAGCCTTAAGATGTCGAGTTTCTGGCGCTGGTGGAACCGCAATCAACTGTAAGTGTCCTAGTTAGGTTGGACAAGCAAAGGGGGCATTGAGAACTTCAAAATACCAACATTCGAACTTCATTAAATTGTACGCGATGGATGTCATTTCACACAATTGGAACTACGGTTAGGGGTGGGAAGGCAATTGCGTAATGCACTACGAACACTGTATCAGATGATTCAGTACTGGCTTAAGTAACCGAGTGCAAAGAAATAGAGTAAAATAGCAGTGCAGAATGTATCAGAACTTTAAAGAAATGCTGTTACAGTGGGTCGGCGGCAGATCGTTATCTGCTGGCTAACAGCATTCGCCGTGCCTTACTGTCATGCAGATTGAAGAAACGTTTCTTGGCTCTCTACATATAAGATGACTGCAGACATATTCTAAGGGTAGTTACAAGTTTACTGATTTTCCTTAGTTCCATAGGAAATGTAAAATGACTATTCAAATTACAGACTATTTCAGGCTACCAGATCCTGCATAATAAAAGTCATAAGACATTAGTACTAAAATACGATAATGTTATCTCTTGCAATGAAAGGCGATAAGGATAAAAAAATGGTTGGATATGTAGGTTGTGACAAACCAACCTCTTCGATCGTAACGTTTCCTCTATTTGGGACTTTCCCCCTCAGAGGAAGCTTCGAGAGGTCTGATTCCAGTCTGGACTTCTCCTGTTGCAGCCAGTCATAGCGCTTCTCTAGCTGAACATACTCCCCTTTGTTTGCAGGCAAGCGATAAAGGCCGAACTGTGGCCCGGTTGTTCCTATGTTAGGAACGGATGGGAGGGCAGGCGGTGGTGCTATGCCCACCATGGGCGCTGGCTGTAATGACTGAGCTCCCTCGGTCTGTTGCTGCATTGGCGGTCGTGGGGGTTGTTGTTGTTGTTGCCGCCCTTCGTTACTGAACATAGCGCTGAGATGGGGTCGAGGCTGAGCGTTCGGATTGGCCATCCTGCGGGCCGGTAACGTCTTAATGGGTACCTGCTGCAAATTTGGATTAAGTGGTCCCTGAGTGTGAAATTGCTGTTGTGGCTGTAACTGCTGCTGAGGTTTCTGGGGTGGTTGTTGTGGCGGTGGCGGACATGAGTTATTCATGGGCCGCGGGCTCATTGCCTGAATTGGCCGATAGGTCACTGGTAGGCGTCCTGCAATTGTAGGCGGCATCGCAATGCCTGGTGCTTGCTCCATTGGCCGACCGTAATTCATGGGTGGAGCCTGAACTACAGGCTTCACTTGGGCCAAGGAGGGTGACAGCGATGGTGGGTTCTGTGTAAATGACAGGTTAGGTGCCTCGTTGGGGATGCTGTGTCCCTTGAAGGGGTTGGATGTGCCAATCGATGAGAGGTTGTAGGTGCCTTTAGGGAGCAAGCTATCACCAGACGGTGGTTTACACGGCTGAGGGATCGAATCTCCGCACATTGGTGTGTAACAAAAATCGGTCGTAGAGGCTACTGGAGGCGATTTCTCAGGTTCTTTTGAAGTAAGCCCAAAGCTGTGAAAGCTCGGGCTGCCTAAAAGTCCAAAAGGAAAGAGCTCAGAAAACGACTATAAAGCAAGCGCCAAGCATAAGTGGGTCCCTTTTGCAGAGGAGGTGTTCAGAAAAGGGACTTTAGCAAACCTGGAACTTTATTAAGTTTCCCTCCAAAAGTTTACACCTACATTGCATGAAACAGTCCCTGCGAATTATAAAAGAGAGCACTTTCTCCTATGCCGTCAATAAAAAAAAGTGCCGAGGTGTTGACTTATTCGTACCATAAGGTGAATCTCCACGAACACAGGCGTGAGAAGCTGTATATCCTACCAGTTTCATCATAATGAAATGTGCCTAGCTCTAACCAATATTAACAGCGTCGTCATCACCGTCAGTATCATCGATCGCAAAACTCCATCGAAAGTATGAACAGTACCTTCAGAATTGACATCTGAACGAAGACTAGCACCACCATTTGCCACCATCGCTAAAATCATCGTTATATTTTCTGGCATCCTCACCACCGGCCGCTCTACCTTCTTATTCTTATTACTTGGACACAGTACCCTCCAGTATCCTTAGGATTTATACAACAGCGCAACCAGCATCCGAGACTTCAACGGAGTCATGCCGGTTAAACCGCTATTTATATGGTTTTTACCAAAGAGCCGGAGCAAAAGGTTTCAAGAAATGTTAGTCAAAGAAACCCCATACCTACTTGACAGTAAAGTTGACTATTTACTTTTGCGACAAACTGCTCAGTTAATGACGAGGATGAATCAAAGACCTCTTCACCAGGCAGTGAAATAAATTCAACTATATTTAATAACAAGACGTTTTAAATAAAATATTCCATATGGCTCGGAAACGCGGTCCTGTTGGAAAATGGGGAAACCCAGGCGCGTCTTGTACAAAAACCATTGTAACGGGTAGAGCTATGGAAAGACACGAAGGAATGTGCGAAAACTAAGGACGAAACGGATGTATTAAAGGTAAATGTGCTGGTTTGTTTTAATGGGCACTAAAGTCTCAGCACAAACCGTGTGCGATACAAAAATTCGCTGTAAGTATCCAATAAAAGCCTACTCCACTAAGAATAGTGCTGATTGGCCTGTCAAGGTCGTCCCAACTGAACCACCCGAGAAGGTGGCCAAACAGGCAGAAGCCATAGATGAAAGTCCTAAGAAGTGGGTGAAGTGTGACCTAAACCCTAACTCTTACGCTAACACTAGACCTAGCCCCAAATTCTAATTTTAAACCCTACCCCGAAGTTCTAACCATAAATCCCAAAAGTAACCCCAAATCCTGACCCGTAAACCCTAAATCGTCACTCTGACCTTAAACCCAACTCTAAATCCTGACTCTAAACCCTCGCTCCTAAAATTAACCCCATATCCTGACGCCGTGAACGCTGAATCCTAGCCCTGACCCTAAACTCTAATCCTAACCCTAAGCCTAAACCCTAAAACCTGACCCTGGATCCACACTCTAATCCTAAACACCAACCCTAATTGTAAGCACTAACTCTAACCTGAACCCTAACCCTAGTGTAGTGCGAAACCGCAAGCGTAATCCTGAATCATAACCGAAACAGTCAACGAAGCACCTCAAATCGAAAATATTTACCAGGAGCACTAAACCTACTGCAACCAATAATAGTACGAAAGTGACCAAGCAGGATCGCGTTTCCGAGCCCCACAAAACATTTTCATTTTTTAATATGTCGGCCTCAGCAAATAGGTCAAGACGTTTCAGAAGCTGAGCAACCATCCCGGGAAAACAGTCCAGACACTGAAGTTCATGAAGCCTGCACACTTAAGCGAAAGTGTACTAAGAATATGTATGTTGTCAATAGCGAAATGTGGCCATATTTCTCACTGTTTAGGTAATCGTACCAGTTGGATGACACTTGCTAAGTGTATTTTACAAGGCGAATTTAGTCAGGGCGAAAGTTTCAGTCCGCACGACGGTTCTAAACGAAGGCAAGCTGAAAGGCATTACATATCACCACAAGGCGGGGAAGGTGCCTGTCTGAAATGGTGACGTGCTAGAAATCATTTTATAAAAAAAAAACAGTCAAAAATGATTTTGCCAGTTAAAACCTCGCAGTCAGCTCGTATTACACCTGATACTGAGTCAAGGCGCACCACAAAAGCTATGAATTTCGAGGGTGAAAACTACATCCTGTGGACCGTTAAAGAGGTTAGGATATTGAAAAACCTCGTCGGCATGCATGATATGACGCTATCGTTAGCCAAATTTATATCGATCAGACTAGTCTCAGGGATTGAACATTACATCAGCGTTAGATCACCGCCAAACTACTATGCTCCTAATTTACCTTAGTCGTTAGAAATGTTGTCCGATATGCATGCTTATTTTCAGGAAAGTTAGTCTGGCGCCAGTTGTCCAGATCATCAAATCATCCAACGAAACAGAATTTATTCCCGTAGGACAAACTCCATGGCTTATTGAAAACTGGCTAAGTCTCAGAAGCAAACTGCTACTACAGAGCAGGCTTGTGACGATATGTATTCCACCATAAAAAACTGTTCATCCTTTGCATTCTCATGTAGAATCACTCTAAACTAAGAGGATAACTATTAGTAACGACTTGAGAATCAAACCACATTGACTATATTCCAGGAAAGGCCAACCCGATATAATGATTTTGGCCAAACCTAAAGCGTCCGAGGAAGTTCCGGACGATGTCATTTAGGTAAGTCCGAGTAATCTCTCCTCTGTTAAATATTCCAAAAACACCTACGAATCACCCAGTTTTATAAATGCACCATGGGTGTTTTTGAAGCGAACATTATATTTTCCCCACTTTTTTCATAAACGTTAATTTTGGGTAAATGAGCACTTTTTGGTTAGGGACAGAAGCTATAATTTGTGTCTCCATCGCAGGTATGAGGCAAAACTGACAGCTAATTATAAACACAGGAGTGAACTGCAAATGCATTAAACAAATGCCGAAATAAGTGAATTATGAGAGATAAAGGTGACCCTCTGGTGGTAAGATATTATTATTATCTAGTTACGATGGAACAATTTAAAAGGTACACCTTGGTCCCAAAGTCCTGTTATTAAAGTCGTGTAGTGAAGAACAGAGCAAACTGCTTTTAAGACGAACACACAAAATAACGTAGTTAGACAATAGCGAATCCGCAAGTAGGGATACACGGAGAGGTCACAATATGTTATGGGCAAAACGGACAGAACAGTCACACGGGCACAGAAGCAACAGCAAGAACGCACCCGTGTCCCCACTGAACGGCACCTCATAGTTATAACGATAAAGACCGTTGTCTCTAAACTTCTCCTGGCGGTCACGGGATTTGCGAAGAGAAGGACCCTCAGATTCACTACGACGTCGGTGGTGTTGGTGAGCGTGACTGCTTTTGCGATGCCGCAAGCTGACATGCCGACTACTTTTTGAACGATGTCTATAACTCCCCGATCGGCTGCAATGTCGCGAGAAGCAACACCGACTGCTATGTCTTGCATAGCCAAACGGTGGCGGCATACCTGGGTGCCAGTAATTTGCAATTGGCGGGGGTCTCAGTGTCCCGGACGGCTGATGTAGGTATTCACCTGCACCACCTCCTCCTGCTATCCCAAAACCACCAAAGCCGCCACCTCCATAGGCGGCGAACCGAGGATCCGTATGAGCGAATGCTGGGAGGGGCATGTGAACCTGTGCGGTGTAGGTTGGGGGCATTATAATGGGCACAGGGGAAGTTGTTGTGAAACGGTTGTAGATGGGAGACGTTGACGCTGGGTAGGCTGCCGGCATGCCAATCGAAGACAGGGACGGTGAGGAAAAGAGGCTGAGACGGGAGGCAAGACAAGAAGCGATCAGGGTTGATTTACTAAGGGAAGTTTTCCTTATCATTTTGGCTCATAAAACGTTTGAAATTTGCAAAACCTGCAAAAATTTATGCTTCCCCGACCATTCCACGGAAAATGGCAAACACTCGCTTTTGGTGGAACAACAGCTCCTGATGTTCTGAAGTTATACGTTCGACGACACTTAAATTTGACAGAAAAGTCTTCTAAAGAGACAAAATTAAGGACTATATCATCAACCAAAGGGTAACGAATTGCTCAAAAAACGATTTAGCGGGCATACGCCCACTTTTGATAAATTTCCTTCAGACCTGTACATGTATATTGCTGTTAGTAAAGAGATGCATACAAGAATGACATCATGCTGTAAGGTTTGGGGGAGAAGAAAACAAAATTACGGCCAGCATCAGGGGGATGGTTGGCATCAGGAAAGACGATTTTATGCGGGTGGCTTTGGACCATGGCAACTGTGGGACCTGTATGAAGTTCTTCTGTGCGCATAAGTTGTGTAACCTGGTTGTAGCCGCCTCTGCTGTAGCCAATAGACGCTGCCGAAGTAGTTTTGACGGAACTTTGTTAATAAATTGGAAGTCCTCTCTGACATTTGCACGGCGGCGTGTATCTACCATATGCGCGAGGATAGAGCTGTTAACATTCTTTATTTTCCACTTTCCTAACCGTACTTGAGGATATTCCATCATTTTTTAAACAAACATTGGCTCTTGCGACCAGCATATTCTGCCCCGCCGGAGCAGGTGAACGAATGGTAGTGGCTCCGCTCCGGGCGCCTTTTGCAACGTTAAGTTTCTTACGAGTACTTACAGGTGCGCACCGGTGGCAGTTTGGTTCCCGACCAATCACCGCCGTGTAAACCGTCCAGTCACCTTCAAGGCTGGCTCAGGCGTGCTGTGACTCAAGGCACTGTGACGCATTCCCCACTGTCATTCGGGACGCCGCCCTCACGACGCCATATGTGTTCTCTCGTTCGGTTGCCACCTTATTCCAACGGGTTCTCCAATCTTTCTGTACAGAATAGAATATCCTGTCAATTAGCGTCCAGCAGCTTCTCTTTATATTCGGTACCGGGCCTGAAGGTCGTAGTGGCTAGGGTCCGCCCATGGCTTAAACTGCCACGAAATCGGTGACTCTGAGGCGATGGGAACGCAACTGCTAGACGTGACTGAGCTCGATCGTCCAAAAATTCCGCTGGTTTCACTTTAACACCTACCGTGTCCGTGAACAGGGAAAAGCGTTTGCTGACACCTTGTCACGAGTCGAGATGAATGTCATCGAACAACCTCAACTCATCGAGTCCAGGTCATGGTTCAGATCCCCTCCAGCAGAGAAGTCCCTCTATCAGTGCCAGCACCCGGACGTCCTTCCCAGTATCGGCTATCTTACCTCCTCCATTACCAGTGGTATCTTCTCACTCAAACCAACAAGCATCGACATGGCTCATACGGATCTGACGTCGACGTCCAATCCAACAACTCAAATGGTGGTTTCCTCTATCCTCACCTATTATTCTGACTACTTCCTGTCAGGCACAGCCGCTCACACTGCCGTTGGTATTTTTCTCAATCACTCAGTTTAAATATCCTTCCTTCGTTCGAATTTTCCGGGGTAAATACACGTAGAGATGGTCTGGGTTGGCAGTTTGTCTTTCCCCTTTCCGTATGGGAGGGGGCTCGTGGAGAACAGTACGCGGGCGTCAGTCGCTGGAAAGGTGCGGGATACAGCATGAGTTAAACAATGACCCTTTTTAAAATTTCACTGGGGCCAGTTTCTTCATCTAGTTTCACCTGTCCACTTCCTTATATTCCAATTTATAAGTAACATTAAGCAGATTGCCCAATGTTTGTGTATAATAAGACTCGTGAAATTAAGTCACAAGTTCGCGTGTGTTTGGAATCGTACAGAATCTCAATGCAATCTGTTGATTGGGTATAAGGTCAAATGCTTGTTTACTGGATGCGGACGACGTGGACAGTCAGTAGCCACCGGAACGACTGCCATGTTTTGTAGTTTTACACATAAATGTTAATCAACTATATCTACGCCTGAGCAGGCCTGAAGATAATTTACTGAAGGGGTATGCTTGCGTAACGAAGCTATGTGAAGACGCTCTACAAAAGGATCCAAACTCATTGCAGCAACCCGGAGGACAGAGCGCGTGGGGCCCGTTATCTCCGCGACCAGTTTGTGCAAAATGGCTATCCGAGGGCATTCATAAGTCGCTGCCTACGCGGTCGCCACCAGAGAACTCGAACATCAACGCCACCGACGATATGGCATTGTCTGCCATACATCAAGGGCGTTTCAGAAGCGACCGAGCGCATTGCTGCGGAGCTAGGTGATGGAATTGCACACCGCTCCAAACCCACAATGCGCAATAGGGTCATGAAAATCAAAGACTGGTTAAAGCCTGATGAGCAATCTGGAGTAGTGTGTCGCATTCCGTGTCAAAATTGTCCTTGTAACTACACAGGACAGACTGGGCGCATGCTCGGATCGCGCATACACGAACATAAGCTGGCTGTGCGACGAGGCGACGCATTATCACAAGTGGCCGCTCACATCTACGAAATGGGTCACGAGTTTAACTTCGCAGCCACCAAAATAGTCGCCCACGCCGGAAACAAAACAGGCCGAGAATTGATTGAATCCTGGGCCTTGGATGAGAACTCGGTCAATCGATTTATCGATCTGCCGCCGGCGTACCGATTCCTGCGTAGTCACCTCTAGTCTTGCGCCGTCGGTCGATTATTGGCCTGCATGCCTTATAACTGTCGCTTGTCCTGCTGCTGATGCTGCTACCTCTGACGATGGACTCCTGTACGAGTCTGAAAGCTCAGGACAATAAACACAGTGTTCCGGTGCTAGACTCTTTTTCTTCACTTATGCATACACCTGGAACTCGAAATTTCGCCTTCATTAGCTTAACTTTCTTCCGCATCATTCACTGTGAACTCATCTGAATACGAAATAGTTGTTGTTAGCCAAGGCCACGAAAATTGAGATGGACTCCTTTATTAAAAAGATGGGAATAATTGCTTTTTGAGAAACATTTTGTTATATCAGAATAACCATATAGAAACCGCCCTACCTAATCTCCACCCATAGGGCGGAAACTCTGTCAGCAGCACATATGTTCTAAAATTGCGTTTGTTCAGCCTTAGGGGAAGATATTTCCGTAAGTCAGTGTTTTTGTTTACTTGCTGCGTTTCCTGTAAACCGCTTACTGTGTTACGGTTTTCTGTGCTGAAAACTACAGTGAAATTGGAGAGTTGAAACAGAGGCACCATCTTGGAAATGTGAAGAGAACAGTTCACAAACGAATTGAATGTGTATTACCCAGTCTCATCAACATTTGGTGCCGTTCACTCGGAAAAACTCGTTCTTCTGTTGAGTAATTGATATTTCATATTTTACGGATGCGATTAGTGTGTATACAGGAACATGACAATTCGATCGTCGGTTTAGACGATGTCCATTGTGTGCTTACTGCTGGCTGACAGCAAGCATGGTGACTTATGCGTGAATTAGATTTTGACGGTAGTGGATTTGCACCGCATCTATCTCAGTCTCTTCTACTCCCCCACATAAGCCAGGAGTTAAGACATAGCCAAGAGGACTGGAGGCGGGGAAGGGCGCAGGTGGCTGGCGTGGCCGGATCCGCACCTAGGCGTACCACCACATCCCATAATTCACAAAATCCAGCAGGATTTTATACATCGGGAAAAGAAAAGGGAGGACTGCTCAGAACCCAAATTGACGCGGCGAGGGCCTGCAACTGGACCTGCAGCAACAAACCAGGATTTAGACTGCAGCAAAAAACAAGGGCGACGGATGGCTCGGCCTGGGCCGCCCCCAAGGGGTGCCGCTACACCCCGCTCTGATCCAACTAGGTGGGAGTGCTATAGAGGCCACAATATGAAGGAGCCATCGCAGTCTGACTCTCAGATCACAAGTCCGCCACCCCACTTAAACACGTATACTGGGCCGACTGTGAGGTCCAAGTTATCCGTCAGTTGGCGGCCTTCCAAGCCAGGTCAGAACGAGAAGGATGAAACAAGTCACTGGGTAGTCACTCACAAGGCCTGTATACCAAGACGGAGCGCAAACGCATCCCCCAGAAAGGAATCGGGTGTCAGAGAACTGCCATCGCCCACCAGACTGTGAGTGCCATGGTTACCTGCAAAGTAGCATAGCATACGCACACAATCCCTTCGCTCCACAGGACCGAGACGCAGTCGTGCATGTAGCCTGGACCATCACCTTTCAGAGTTCACGTTATCAGTCAGTCATCGACTGAGGCGCACTACCCATATACACACAAACACTTCTTTTATGTGTGGGTGCCAGAAGTCGCGTCACGTTAAGGGGGAGCCGTTATAGCCTGACTCTCAGCCCGCCAGCCCGCCACTCCATACAAACACACACAGCCGGACAGACTGCGTAGACTGAGTTGATGCGTCAGTCGGCAATCTTCCAAGCCACGGCGCTTGACGCACGGTGATAGTCTTGGGCTCGGATCACACATGCAGCATAGGAGCCACATGAAGAGGGAGCCGAGGTGCACACTTCCCACTTACGCGGACGTGACGACGTTGTGTGGTGATGGGTGATGTTGAGGTGTGTCGTACAGTACGTGACCTATCTCATAAAACCTGATGACAGGAACTGCTGCAAGAACTTTTGTATGGGGAAAGGTGTGATGGTGTCGTATGGCCGGTGGTGGTCTACTGCAGGTTTTCATGATTGCGCATGTGGCCAAGTAGGCTCATGAGGTGGCTGAATGTACGACGGTAATGCGCACAGTTGAGGTGGGTGCGTCTGGTGTATGTGACTACTGCAGGAACTGGTTCGCTAGTATCTGTGCGACGGATTCGCAAGTGACCGACCAGGCTGATGTGTGAGGTGAATGTGCAATCGCAGTTAGGACAAGGTGGGAGTGAGTCCACATCGTTCGAGACTGAGGTGTTGATGGGGGTGCTAGTAGATGACCGGACGTCGGATGTCGTCCCATCAGCGGGGAGTGCGAGAGGTCGTGATGTTAGCGGGGATGGTCGCTGTGATCGACGCAAGGGTTGGGGCAGGGTGAATGATTCGCGAGATCGATGGCGGATGGGCATCGGCAGTCTGATCACCGGTGACAGGGGTGGTGGTTGTCGTCGTCGTCGTCGTCGCGGAGTTTGCTGTAGTGGTGATAATAGGGGTGTTCGTGGAATGAGAAGTTGAGGTTGCCAAGTTGTTGATGCATTGCTCCCGAAGGTGTCCTACGAGGCCGATCGGCGCGCGAAATGCGCGTTGACAGCGCGGACATGTTGGAAGCAGCTGGCCTTTGGCACTGAGGAGCCAAGGCACTTGCGATTTGCGAACCTCCCGTTTAGCATCGGCAGCGGCGATCCCGTTTGCCTCGCAGATGCCTGTGCCAGTTTTCACTTTTCTTCCCCAAGCTGGTCTGTTCTGGACGAGGTCTCCGGATTGGTTTGCGGTCGTTTCGGAAAGTTCTTCAGAGTGACCTTGTAGCGCCATTTTTATCCTCCCGGTTGATGCGTACACGTAGTGACATCTTCGCAGAAGAGTTGATGTGGTGGACGTGCATTTTCCGTTCTCACGAGATGGCTGTTCCAGCGTGGTTGCGGTTTCTTCAACATGACGTGGATGCCGAGGATTCCTGCCCGTTCGAGAACTTCCGTGTACGGGATCCTGTCTTGCCATCTCAGCTTCAGTATTCTGCGGAGGCGGCTGAGATGGAAGTGACTCAGTTTCTTGGTATGGTTGGAGTAGACGGTCCAACTCCCCGCTTGGTAAGGAAGTGTCGTCAGGAGGACGACCCCGAAAATCTTCAGTTTGGTATTCATTTGGAAGCCGTGACGATTCGACATGGAGTTCTGCAGCCGGCCAAAGGCTAAGCTAGCTTTGTAAATCCGGTGACCCACTTTGTCATCGATTCTGATGCAACGTGGCGCTGTGATGCCTTGGTAGGTGAATTTGTCAACGGTCTGCAGTTTAGTACCGTTGACATGGATGCGAGGAACACTGTATTCAGAGTTCGGTGGCTGTTGATGCATGACCACCGTTTTGTTCGTACTGATGGTCAGTCCGAAGTTGGTGCAGCCGGCGCCGAAGAGATGCTCCGTTGCATGTCAGTTTCGGTCGTAGTGTTGAGTCCGCAGTCGTCGGTGAAGAACAGGTCGTGGGCAGTAGTTGTGGAGAGGCGCGTCGGGGTCTACATTCGTCCGCTGTTGAGGTGTCCGTCGGACCTATATGCGGCGTGGATCCCGGGTATTTCATCACGGCAGGCGTCCATCAGCATGACGAGAAACATGAGATTGAAGACGGTGGGTGTAAGTACGCACCTCTGCTTCACTCCATCGCTCATTGCAAATGCATCGGAGAGTGTGCCGTTGTCCGTGACGCGCGCCATCACCTCGTTGTGAAGATGATGTACCATATGTCTGAACCGCCGAGATCAGCTGAACTTCTGCATAATTTTCCAAAGCCCTCCGCGATTTACTGCGTCGAAGGCTTCCGTCAGCTCTACGAATATGGTGTAGAGGCGAGTTCTCATCTCCCAACATTTCTCTTGTAGTTCTTGGAATTCACACTGACTTTCCGACAGAAGTCCTTGACCTAGATGGTCGTTGAAGCGGTTGAGGAGGAGGATGGGGGCAAAGATCTTCCCAGTCATGTTGAGCAGCGAGATTCCTCCGAAATTGTTACAGAACTGCCGGTTTCCTCTATGCTTTCAGAGGTGAATTATTGTTGCATCGTTGAGGTCCTGAAGGATCTGTCCGCAGGGCCACATCTCCTGGAAGTTTGCTGATAGGTGATTCATTGGACGATGGCCGTCGTACTTGTAGATTTCAGCCAGGATTGCACTGCAGCCTGATGCTTTCCTGCTGAAGAGTTGTTGTACGGTGCGGATGTTTTCTGCAAGGAGGGGCTGGGGATCTAGGCCGACGTTGATTTCTACCTGGGGTAGCCGACCAGCGGCTTCGTCAGAGATTGTGGAGGGACGGTTGAGAGCGCTTCTGAAGTGCTCGGTCCAGCGTCTTAGACTCTGCGACTTCTTCATCAAAAGCGTTGATCCATCAGAGCTGAGAAGCGGCACGGTTCCTTTGATTGGGGTACTGATGACTGTCTTGATCGCAGAGAAGTTCTTTCTTTCGTTGCGGTCGGCATACACCTGAATCTTTTCGGCCTTCCTAGTCATCCAGAAGTTCTGCGTTTCTCGCAACCGTTGCTACGCAAGGCGGTGACATTGATAGAATGCCGCTTTGTTTCTACCGGTTGGACAGTCGAGGAAGGCTCTATGCAGCCTGCTCTTCTTGGGGAGCAGGTTGCCGATGGCTGGGTCATTTTCGTCGAACCGATCCAGGTGTTGGACGGCGCCTCACACCTGGCATCGCCGAGTCTCCATGGCGGCGTTTTCATCTGGAGCTTTCAGGTCTTCAGGACCCTGGGTCATTTGAGTGCCGAAACGTAAGTGGGGAGCAGGCCAAAACAACAGAACGGTATTTAACTTACCTGGTGGTCGCTTACTCTGTGACCTCCCACGGGGTTGCGGATGGATCCTCATCTTGGAGGTGACGAGGCGGTGGTCCGTCCAGCCATCGGCTTCGCAGCTCGCCTTGGATACCGTCACGTCCTGCTGATCGCGCGTGGTCGGACGAGAATGTAGTCCAGCAACTGCCAGCGACGCGATCGGGGGTGCATCCAGGTCGCCTTCTTCTGCATCGGCGGAGGAAAGAATGTGCTGGTCAGCAGGAGACGGTGTTCAGCGCAGTTGTGCAGATATAGGAGACCAGACGATGAAGTCGCCGATCCCGCGAGGTCCCAACACACCCCTCTGTCCCGATGCTGGCATTGAAATCGCCAAGGACTACCAACTCGTCCACCTTCGGCACAAACGTCAGGAGGGCGTGCAGATCTTCGTAGAACTTTGCCTTCGTCTCGTCTGGGCCGATCATTGGTGAGGCGTAGGCGCTGATAATGGTGTCGAAGTTGGGTTCCCGAAGAGACGGGCGCAGATTCATCAGTCGGTCGCCGTTGTCCTGTAGCAGACGGGCAGTTGTCCCACGATATCGTTCTGTATGGTAAAGGCGACACCCGCGTCCCGTCACTCTGCCTTGGGCGGTCGCCCCAGAAGAAGGTGTAGCCGACATCCCACCTCCTCCAGTTGACCCTGTTCGGAGAACCGAGTCTCGCTGATTGCAGCAATGTCCATTTTGTAGCGCGTCAGTTCTCGAGTGACTAATGTCGTTCTTATTTCCGGTCGGTTGCTCCGCTGATTGTCTAATAGGGGACGAATACTCCAAGCTGCCACAGTGAGCGAACTCACCCTAGCAGCCTATAGGGTGGGACAGAAAAGATGGGGAGGGGAAAGAGGGCGTTTTTGCTTCTTGTTTCGTTGTTTAGATCGCATTATTGCAGTCTGAGGACCACGGTCTGCGCGCAGGTGTCTTGAGCCCAGCATCTGTTTGCAGCACCCTTTCCAGTCCCCTCTTCCGCGAGGGGGCAAGCAGTGCTGTACCTAAATATGGCCGCTAAGTCGTCCCAGACGGCTGCCGAACTCCACTGTGGGTCGCGGATTGGTTTAATAAGAGGACGACGCGGCTGGCCTTGGACGTCTACATCATTGCATGTCGCCCTCACCGTAGGACTTTTCGACCGTGGGAAAGGGAGTAGAGTAGAGAGAGTAGAAAATAGCGTGGCAGGAGGGGAAGGGGGAGGGAGAGGGGGAAAGAGGAAACTGGGGATGGAAGGGGGAGGGTAGGGGGATAGAGGGTTAGGGGTGTGAGTAGGGAGTAATCCCTTCGGGCGTGGAGGCAGACGAGAATGGGAAGTGGGGTAGGGAGGAGGAGCAGGGATGGGAAGGGAAGCAGATTCGCCGGATTCGGGGACACAGCGCTAGATGCCCTCAACTTGGTTTAGTCCGCTGGTCTAGAAGGTTGACGGGGTGTGGCCCTAAGGTAAAGCCTAGCTCCGATGAGCCACACATGAGAGTTGAGTGCCAGTTAGTGGACGCAAGGCGAAGTCAACACACGCAAGCATGTGAGCGATTTACTACGGCCATTACATGGGCAAACAGCTGGACATCCCTCCACCCTACACGAACATAATATAACAAGTGGCTGCTTCACATCATCCTTTATATCCGATTATCGTTGGGTTCTCGTAATAAGGATTAGGAGATCGTTGACATTACTGGAGACCTTTCAGTAATTTCTTCCTGCGTTTCTTTCTACAGTTCGTCCAAAGCCCTCACTGGAGTACTGTACTATTCACAAAACGCAGCTGTGGAAAGTGGGAATCGTAACTGCAAAGTTCACGCACTCTACAGTAAGTGGGGCATTCTTCTTCCACTGGTATCAGTCTTCTCCCCTTGGCTTGGGGATCATAGCAGTTGCAATTACCCTTCCTTCCCACCATGAAATATTCCTACATGTGCTTTTAACGACTACCGAACCGATGCCACAACAGTAGTGTTCAAATCCTGTGGTTGCTGCGCAGCCGTGGCGGGCAGCGGTCAAGCGTTGTTCCGCAAACTGTTGGGGTCAGGGTGACACAAAAAAGACAAACTACAGTAGGTGGGCTATCTCATGAAATGTCAACCGGAATTGCGAATTGCGTATTCGTTTCGAAAAGATTGATTAAGTAGGGTTTTAAAACTAATCATCGTGCAACACAATTCTACAATAATTGAGTTACATCAGGATGTCGGCTTTCAAACGAACTTCTCTCCGGCTGCAAGCAAAAACTATACTCTGCAAAAATGGCTACTTACATAGCATGCAGTTTTCTCATCGATTTTCGATTCCATTAAAAATTCAATTAGATTTCATCGAAAACATGCATACAAATACTCATTATTTCGTTCATTCGATGGAACACTTCGTCTTCCTTCAATTTTATACTCGAAGGAAGGGTATAATTTGGTTTTAAAAAGTTTCTAATTGTGAGATATTTAATACGGTGGAATGGTTTTTCCTGAAACATCATGTATCTGCACTTACCAATGCGGCTTGTAAAGTTAACAATGTGGCTTAAATCCCCTACTAAAGGTTATGAATGCCATATGGTCTCCTCTTAATACCGTAGAGAAATGTATGGGTTTCCATACGCGGAATATATACGGCTTGTAGTTTGGAAGCCCTGAACGTGAGTGTAACGGCAGGTCAAGTTCGAAATTATTCGAAAATTGGAAAAGTTTTTAAAACCAAAATATGCCCTTCCTTCGAGTATAAAACTGGAAAAAGGCGTCATTTATACTGGATGAGCAATAGAATGAATATTTTATGCATGTTTTCCATGAAATATGACTTAATTTTCAAGGTAATTGAAAACCAATGAGAAAAAAGGTATGCTACATATCTAGTCATTTTTTACGGAGCATGGGTTTTGCATGCAGCCGAAAAAAGGTTCGCTCGAAATCCGGCATCCTGAGGTAACTGAATTATTATAGAATTCCGCTGCATGCTGATTAGTTTTACAACCTTACTTAATTAATATTTTCGAAACGAAAACGCATTTCGGAATTTCGGTTGACATTTTATGAGTTTACTCACCTACTGTAGGTGTTTCTGTCTTAGTTGGAAATGTCCAATTGCAAGACGTAAAGATACAGGTCATCGGTGCTTAGTACAGATCATTTGCAGAAACTGTAGCAAACACTTTAATCGGGCAGAAAATCGTTACCAGATATTTCACAGTCAGCATGCTAATTTGTTTCCCAGCAGGAATTAGTAGTATTCATACTCTTCTCTGTCTCGATCGTGCTTTCTGAATACCAGTCAGAAAAATATCAGGATTCTTGGTACTTTCATGAACCGACTAGGGGGGGGGGGAGACGTAAGAACGTCCTGCACGCGGTTACACGAAGAAATGGATGGTACAAAAAGTCATACGTGACCGCTTAACGCGCTAGGGAAAGTCGAGTTCAAGATGGAAAGAGCATAATCGCTAGGTATCGGACTTCTTTTGCAGTCAGCACCGGGCCACAGTTAGCGACATTTGGCTGAAATTCAATTATCGAGCAATGCTCTCAAATCCTTAAATCTGCGCTTTTCTATTTACTTCGTAAGACTGTGGTAAAACGATGCTCCGACCGCAATGCTCATCAAATTCAAATCGAATCATGACAACGATGACGGCGGAGTTTAAATACTAGAGGTCTCCAAAAGAACACAAAAATTTCCTCCCCCTTTGTAATCCTATTTCTAATTACATAACTCGACACCCATAACTTGCCCTTTCGGAGATTTTTGAAAAGCGAATATCAGCAGGTTTTGGGAGAGGAATTTTGGAGGAAATCGAAAGCGAAAATCCCGATTTCAGATACTGTTCTTTAGGAAGAACCAGCCAATTAAAAGTTTGCTAGAACTACTTCTAAATTTCAAAAGATCAGTACGTCATACATCAGCTAAAAGTACAACTACTCATTCGTACACCACACAGCCCGCGGAGCTTACGAACCGGTACTGTACCACGAACAGCATGAGTGCTGCGTATAAGAAAATCGCGTCATAAATGAGGCAACACGTTTCTGCGAGCACGAATAAGCAGAAAATGGAATGCGCTTATTAAAAGAGACTGCAGACCTACCAAGGTTTCATTTGCGAATCGTACTGATTCTGAAAACGAACTGAAGAGATAGGGGGCTGGGTTGACACATAATTGTTAGGTTGGCGCCCAGATCTGTGTTCCGAGGAATGTTTGTGTCGGTGATGCTTGCTGCTCGACTTTCTGCTGTAATAACCCCGTGGCGGATGCAATGATAAAGTGTCCAGGCAGTCATCGTCCGAAAAACCGTATTCAATATCAGGTCTGCCTGTCAAATGCGTTTTGTGCTGTCGACACAATTTAGAAGTTTTTCTGATCTGAAAAACAGCGTAATTTGCGGGGAGAGTGTAGGAAGAAAAACCAATTTTTGTTTAAATTGATGGTTGGAATTGCCGAATTATTTTCTCTTGTTCATACTAGCAAGATGGCGGGAAAGCAGAATCAAGGGAAGTTTGAAGAGTCACAGCTAGTTTAAGTTATAAAGCCTACACATTTAACGCCCGCAGCCCCCTCTGGGTCATTCAACAAACAGGTTTTTGTCAGCAATTTTGAAGATCCGCGCTCCCGTGTGTTGTGTCTCAGGAATACGCATTCGCGCTACGCGCGAAGGCCCTACCATGGTTCACAGAGAATATCTGTCGATGTTCGCTGTAGACGTAATTAGGAAAAGGATGCAGGAATTTGAATTTCATCGACAAAAGACCATAATCAAGCCGTTCGTTATTTCCTAAGAAATATGTTAATTACCAGCCCTCATTCTGGAAGAGCATTCATTTCTGCGATGAGGTCTTATTTTTAGACAAGCCTACGAAGTCGACCGAGATGGTCACAAGTGGGAAGAAATCTCCAAAAGAGCATAGTGCGGCGACGACAACCTTTCAACTTTCGACGGTTAATGGTTTGGATGGCTACTTAATTCGGAGGGTGGCCAGTCTGGCGGTCAACTACGGACACCATCAACAGCAAGGTGTTTTCGATTACGACGACCATCCACTAAAGCAGATTGAGTACCATAATTTTGCACATTAATGTCCCTGATAATAATCTGATAACGCTTGCAACCGTAATCTGGCTTTTTGGACAACAGCCAGCCTCTTTGAATGTGGCCTCCAGTCGGTCTTTATCCCTGACAAGAGCTCGGGTCTCAACCCTCTCGAACATCTTTTCGCGCTTATCAAAAGACATTGACACGAGGTAAATAAGAAAGTTTCAACGTAAGACTGTTTTTGTGCCAAATAATCACGCTAAACAATCCATCATAGGCAATCTGACCATCTCCATGTCTGAGGCTTTCTACTGTGCTAAATGCTAACGGACAATCAACAAAGTATTGATATTTTGTACTTGTTATTTTTCATTATTTTCCCTTTTTCATGCGCCCTCTTCCTTATGAACCCTTAGAGTTGGCTTTATTTAAGCAATTTGTAATAAAGCCACTTTCCCAAATTCTTGTTTTCAGTGAAAATTTACAATTTCTACGTTAGTAAATGTTGACTTATAAACTTAATAATGACTTCCCTTTAAGAGCGGTTGTTTTTTTCACTGCTATAAGGCTTTGAGGAACGCACTTTGGGCGGATTTTGCGTTATAGGGATTTTATTATGATATCTCATGACATTTCATGAGTTATTTCATCTACTCTATGTTTTTGAGCGTTCATCGGACCTTTATGCCAAAAGACACCACGGTATGAACGCGAGGGGTGGAAAACAGTCAGTGAAGAAGGGTAAAGAGTGTCTAAACATGTCGGATCGTGGCGATATTACAGTACAGACCGGAAGATGGACAATCGCAAACGTGTGTTTCCCAAATTTGGCCTTTTCAACGTCTACGTGTGTTTTATTCTTGAACACACGGCTTTACGAAGACTGTTTGGTCAAAAGGACGGAAGTCTTCAGACGTCAAGGCGACAACAGACACAAAGGTTCAGAGACTCGCAAGGTATTTCAAGACAATTCCAACGTCTTTAGCAAGCGGCGCACACAAGTTAGCAAAGTTTTATTACGACGCACCAAGCAAACTCCCCAAACCGTCCATTGTCTTCAGACACTCCTACAGCTTCAGGACATAAGACGGTCATCCAGACGGCCATAGCCACGTACCCACTAGTAAGTAAACCATTGTCAAGTCCCAATGAATGAGTACAATGGAGAAGGTTAGGCTAATTTCCATCTCTCGTGATCTGCCTTCAGAAAATGAATTTTTTAAAATTTATAGAATTCTGGATAACAATCGGGAGATGGCACCCAAAAAATCCGTTACCTAGAAATAATACCTTTTACAGTGGACTTAAACGCCTTCAGGCTATATCAGCGGTTGCAGGCCTGCTTTCACGCACTATTTGGACTTTCCACGACGGCCTAACATGGGCTGGTCGAACGAACATCGCAGGAGGTTGCATGGACGATGGTCGCTGTTACCCAACCTTCCCCATCGTTACACACATACACCTGGATATACGACATACATTCGCATTATGGCAGTTTATTACATAACAAAAACACTTTTAAATAGGATAAGTCTGCACAACAGGGGACAGGAACAGTTCCCAGGCATCTGTCAAAGACATGACATTGAAGCCAAACCAAAGACGATACTGTACTACGTCTATGTGAGCCCACACAGCTCGACCGCATACAGGGCCTCCCTCGTGGAGTTTCCTTTTCAGTCTACTCCAGTATGCCTCAATGGCATTGGTGTGCCGTCCGGTGGTAGGGCCCTTGGAGTCCTTTGAGTGGTTAACAGAGAAATGTAGATAACCTTCTGAGAGAATACGATTATACGCCTTCCACTCGTCCGTTACCACTATAATGCCTTTGGCGACCCACTTTGTAATAACGGAACGGAGAGCGGACCAACTTCGATCATTCACCTGTTCAAGTAAGGTTTGTCGTCGGCTAGTATCGTACATCCCGACCAGCCAACACCCATAAATCTCCTATTACCACCTGTCCCGTAAGACAAGCCATTTTGGTTAGGCGGATTTTTTTGGGTGCCATCTCCCGATTGTTGCCGAATTCTGGATTAGTTTCGCGGCACACGCCTAGAATTTCTTACCTCAAACAGGTTGCCACAGGATACGTCAAAGGGATGGAGAAAAATCAGAAACAATGATGCGAAAACCACTCCGCAAAAATAGTCTGCCAGAAGCGTGGCCAGTCTCATTGAGAAAGTTAAACTCTTATCCGTGACTGGGTTTGATATCTTATACTGCGGCAGCTGAGGTCGTGTTGCCCGATAACACTACGATTTCAGGTCTGGGCGCGAGACTTCTGGATGCAACGGCCGTCTGTAGCTGACCCGTTACTTAAGGTTCACTTCATCCATTGAGCTAATTAAGACTAGCTGGGTCGCTGGCTCTAATAAGTTTAATCGGGTCACTCAGGTTCTGTTTGTTTGTTGCAGTTCGAGATCACCATCGCTGTCGCTTGGTCATGCAGGCTTTCTGTCCGCCTCGTGCTTCCCGTCAATTCGCTTCTGGGATCGCGCGAGACTTGGCCTCGCGAGAGCTCGAAGCTAACCAACGCTGCAGAGGGACACAGCTTAAATCGGAGCAATGGTGCACACGTGCTGTGCCATAAGACACCACTGATGACAGTCCGACCGTCGTCGCCGATGATGTCCACCGTGTGCTCCACTGAACGAAAAAACAGACACGGCGACTGGCGCATTAAGTAATTTGTAGTAATAACGGACTGACCCGTTTTTATATCAGAACGAATCTATGTTATAAGCCATTATTAAACACGGAAAACCCGACCTGTGTAAATAACTTAATGAAGTTTTCAGCCAAATCTGGTCCTGGTACTCCCTAATTTCTTGATTGTCACACTTCCCTGTAAGATACCACTTGTTTCCTGCTTGTTTTGCCTCTCCTTCTAAATGCATTCTTAGTCGACTGGACTGATTTCTAAATAAATTAAAACTGTCGTATACCCGCTTCCCGTTAATGGTTATGAAGCGGCAGGCAGCAGTTGAAAATCAGTCATTAACTTCATTGATGTCAATAAATGCACTGCAGAAACCCGGGGAAGGGAGGGAGGGGGGGGGACAAATACAGCTACTCTGGCATCCACGGTGCCAATCGACAAGCACTGGTCGCCCAGACAACTTCATAAGCTCCCGCCTCCGTTTGCGCCCAGTAGAAACGAACGAGAGAAACCTACCAACACTTTGGAATCGTGCTGTTGTAGGGGATGCATCAGAAACGACAGAACGAATTTCCGCAGACAGTGACGAGAACGTCGCCCATCGCCCTGCAGCTACCGTGCGTACCAGATGCAGATGAAAGGTCCACCTGGACATAGGTGAGCAATCTGGTGTATTTTATCCAATCCTGTCCCACGAATACCCTTAGCCTTGTGGGATCCAGGCAGCATGACAACTTGGCTCACGGATACGCGAGCACAAACGGGTCATTCAGAGAGACGACCCGCTGTCCCAAGCCGCTGTTCGCACCCCTGGGTAAGACCACAAATTCGACTTCGGAAACACTGGTAACAAGACAAGGCGAGAGTTGATGGAGTCGTCGGTCTTCGACAGCATCTTCATAGACAGACAAATTGATATACTTTCCCGTTATCATGCGTTACAACCACGCAGCCGGATGGCGCGGGCCAGTTTTGGGACAACGACGTACACGTCCGCCGCACAATGAGACCATTCCGGACGGGCAGCATGACATCAGTCCCGGCCAATGACACGACTTTTCCGCTCCTACCGCGTTGTCGGACAACAAAGTTGCTCGCGTTATTTGTCCCTTCAGTCTCTGAAGGTGGGCTCCGGTACGGGTCCGAAAGCTACTAGGACCAGCGCCTCGGTGATCGAATATTTCTCTACGTGACAACCGTTTATGCTCAATTACATGGAATTCTAAGCGGTTCTTAGACAAAAGTAGTCTTATAAGTCAATTTACGGTACAAGCTTTCATGTGTATTCTACCTTGGCGCTTCCCCACCATTACTTCTGTGCTCAGGATTTTAATCGCATTTTTACAACATTTGTCTTATTCAAGAAGTCGCAGCACCTCACCAATAGCCTAATCAATGAAATGCGTCGACTTCTCAATGAGAGCTCGAGTGTTTGTCGGTAGAAAGGCTTGTACTTGGTATAAATGTGATTATGGTGTCGCGGAGTGTACGTCTGCCCGTGTGATGGTCTGCTGTGGCAGATCTGGAAGGACCCCCCTCCAGTGGCGTGGACCGAATACTCAGAGACCAAGAACCACCTTCATGTCTTGGGGGATTTTGCCGAGCAGGGTTTTGCACTGACTTTCTCTTAGACGACGAATCGAGGGCGGAAACACCACATTCGTGGAGCGAGCGTCGAATAGTGTGCCTAGACGACAGTCGTTTTCCTCGGATGGCCTGAGATATTCTGATGTTGTTGCAGCAAGTTCGGACTGTCTTATTCGAGACAGGGTTAGTGTATGCTTCTCAGGCAATGGTGGTCAATCACCTCTAGTTTTTGCTCATTTTTCGCGCGCAGAACTCAGCACTTACCATCTTATAGGATGATGGATCACACCAATGACTAGTATACGCGAACCTTTATCGCGATTGAGACATCGCGTCAACTCCATAGACATTTCCTAAAGGCTGTGAGAATCCCGCGAACGGCATCCATTCGGGAGGTGATGTCAGACTTATTCTGTCCATTTGGCAGCAGCATTGCCTACATCCTAAAATTGACGGTCATTAATCCTGACGGCCACCTTTCCCTGCTCAGAGATGCGGCTCGGGAATACTTTGGTTTTACCGGAAGTTATGGATAAACCGAGTGATTCAGCGAACTCATCCAGCCGCGACACCACGGTCTGTAGGATATCGGAGTTGGAAGTTAGCCAGACGGCATCTTCAGTGTAGTCTTGGTCATCATCAGGAGTCCGAGTACAAATTCGACGTTGTAAAAACCGCGTAGGACCCATCTGATAAACCGAACAACGTCGTAGTTGAACAGAATGGGCAACCTGATAAAACCTTTTCAGACCTAGTTTGTAATGCAAAAAGTGAGGCTCAATACAACACTTTTCACATTTGGTCGTTTCGTTCATACGCGGCCAATGCTAGAGGCCAACAAAGTCGGAATCAGAAGCAGATGGAGAGCCCATGAGAAAATCGACATTTAAAAACAACCTCTGGTATCAAATTCTACACAAAGAAAAACACTATAACATGCGCTTGACAAGGTACGATTAACAAGATGCATCAATTACCAGACAACCCCTTATAGTTTATCTGATTCCATATCGTGGCTATCCTTGGCATTATATGCAGGCCGGACAGAACGGTAACTCAGTTCATGGATGCACGAGCATGAACGAGCGCTTCGGAGAGACCGCCGGGTCTCCTAAATCACTGCCAATATTCCAGACGAAGGCTACACAATCGACTTTGAGCGCACGGACAGGGGTGTTGGTCGGCAACACGACAGGACGAGAGCTGCTGGGCGTCTCGACCCCGATAGCAACTCCATAGGCGGACATATCGATTTGCTTCTCTGCTGTTACGGATTACGTCCGCGTGACCAGTTCCCAGCCGAGGACGCCCACCTTCAGCGTACAGGGAGACCATGGTCGATCAGGCAACGTGACTCCAGCTCTAGCTAAGGACACGACATCTCACCCGTCAGACCACAGAACTGCCCGTGTTAGTGTTCTCTCGTAATCTCTGACGCTACTTTTTTATACGTGTCCGAAAGTTCAGGATAATGCAGTTTTCACCGGCCCCACAGGAGCAAGTGAACGAGTAATTACACATAAAGGTGGTCTGGGCTGATAGTTTGTCCTTGCCCTCTCCGTATAGGCTATGAATAATGGAGAACAGTGCACAGATATCAGCTGCTGGAAAGGTCCGTGAGCAAAATATATCGGTCGCACGAGCGGGCACGTCTCCAAAAGAATAAAAAAACATCCTCCATCGTAGTTAAGAAAGGGGCGAATAAAAGACATCAACAGCTCTATCCTCGCGTACATGGTAGATACAGACAACCGTGTAAACGCCAGAGACGCCTTCCGAATGATTTACAAGGTTCTGTAAAGCTATCCAAAGCTGCTTGGGGGGAGTCTGTTGGCTACGGCAGATACGACTGCAATCAGATTACGCGAACCGATCCTATACGCACAGATGAACTTTTTACCGGTCCCACAGTTGCCATGGCTCAAAGCCACCAAGCCAGCCATCTTACCAGGCCCATCATCTCCCTGGCAATGACTGAATCTCGGTGTTCCGCTCCCCCCAAGCTCGGACTACGGCATAGTTATCTACTTGCCTGTATCTTTCGATTCATTATTTCATAGTCATATAGATGTACAGGCCTGATGAGAATTTATCAACTATGCTCGCCAAATCGCCTTTTGAATATTCGCTTATATTCTTGAAATGATTTAAATCTCCGAAGGACTTATTCATCGATTTTGACACTTTTTTCAATTTACATATCGTCAGCATTACTGACCGTACAGCGAGACACGTCCACTTTTTAATTAATAAAATCAAGTAATTTCGTAAGCTGCTGTATGTGGAATTCGACAACAAACTAGCTGTGCCGGGTAGGCACGCATTACAGGTAACCTGTCGGCGTTTACCAGGGCTGTAACTGCGGTAAAGGCCCATAAAATATGTTAATTACGTCGGATTGCAAGTTGATGATGTCTCGGACGCACATGAATCCTCGTTAGATACTAAATACGATCGACCAAAGGAATTTGGGTTCCCGCCCAACGGGTAGCCCCGCGCTGAATCCCAGGGAGAACCTGTTTCATTTCCAAACTTTACTCCCAGCCCGGACGCTAACCCGCGTACTCCAAACCCTAGCCCTCATAGTCCTAAAACTACCTCATCCTAGCCTCTCTAACCCTAATCCTGACACTAAATCTGGCACTATGCCCCTGACATTTGGGGCAAGGCTACCTGTAATACGGTGAATTCATACTCCCATTCCGAATCCAAAATACAATCATACCCATCCTTGCATCACTAATAAAGTAAAGGACAGAAAGAAAAGGGCGTGAGTGGTCTGTGCTAACAGCAAAGACCGGGACCGCCAAGCAAACCTCGTTTAATGGTGACGGTCCGGGGTGCTTGAGTTAGGTCCTAACAATTGTTATCCCAGCGATCAACAAGCCTCATCGTGCTAACTTTGATCTAGAAATATATGGGGTAAGCATTCACCGATTTGACGTAATTGCTGCGCTGGTAGGGACCTTGTGTCTTGATTTTGATCTTTCATTGGGAGTCTGCGAAAGTGATTGTGCAACAAAGATTTCAAATCCAAAGAGGCACGTCCATATCCTATAGTGAAAACAGGTCAGATGGATGAATACTACTTCTGCGTGCCTTTAAATACTTCCTATTGCGGTCTGCATGGCGTGTGCCCGTCGTTAGGCCAATGAACAGCTAGTTTCGGGTCCGAATTTCAGATTTCGCTGGCCTGGAAATGAATCAAGCTCTGCAAAGGCGGAGAAAAAGCCAGTGATGACAGTTGCAGTGGTCCTTATCTTTATCAGAAATGCCTTTCGGGTATAACTTCCCAACGTTATGTATCCGCCAGCGAGTGTTCTAGTAGGCAATCGAAGTGCAAGGCGGAACGTCTGGACTCTGCCCAAAACCGGCAACATAGCTGGACAAATCGCTCACGCGACTTGGAATTCTTCCGACCACACTGGTTGGAGTTCGACTCTTTTTTCACATTTTGGGTTTTTCATCGTGTAGGTGGGCTGTGATCTGCGACCACGACCGAAAAACTGGAAATAACCGTTCCAGTCACCTTTGCTTTTTGGTCGTCAAATCGCCGTTTTAGAGTTAACTATCAGGTAAACTATTGGATTTAGGGAATTTTCAGAGTAATTATGCCACATACTAGGGAGTGGGATTTAGGCAAAAAGAACGATACTTGTATGAAGATAATCCTTTTAGGTACAAATAAAAGTTGCAGATCAACTGACTACTTTACCTCCGTCTTAAGGCTCTTGCACCTTTCAAGGAGTTCGCGCAATTCGGTCTCCTTCGACCGAAGACTTTCTAGCAAACTCATTTCTGACGCATTCTTGGTTCTGAAAATTCGAAAAAAACCAAGTCGGCTAAATATTCTATTAGTCTCAGAGGTTGATATGTGAAATGAAACACATTTCCTGTGTGCTTTTGTGCAGCACAGACATTCTTAGTTAATTACGATCAACTTGGGAATTATGGCCAAATTTACTGTCAATTTTTCCGTTAGAACACATGTTTCTTATATGTTAAGGAAATGAGGAAATCACCCATAATGTCCATGTAAAAAATCGCTTTCTTCAACTAACATTTTGGCTACAACATAAAATTCCCACAGTCACCCGTATAAGTCAGAGTCTTATTGGACAGTTGCATTTCCATGAAACTAACTTGTTTTAATTTATCGTAAGGGGATTAGAAGGTGGACCGGCCTCAAAGGGCGCAGTTAAAATGCATGAATTATTCTAAGAATCTTCTCAGGTACTACATAAATAATAAGATTAGCATAAAAGTAAGAATACGAAAATAGTTCGACCTAAATCTAAGTTATCTACACCTATTGCCTAGATGAGTATGAATCATAATGTGTCGTGAGACTGTTTCCCATGTTGTATGTCAAAACTGCTAAGGCTCCGTTTAACATCTACTGTGTGGCAAATCTGGAAAAAGAGCGTAAGGCATGACCAGTAAGGAATTTTAAATCTATAGAGCCTACTTTACGGCACCTTATTGCAGAACCACATCTTATGCCATTTATCGAGCTTGAATTAGGAGGTTTCATCTAGTTGTTGAAACTCTCGAAAATACTTTGGAGGGGTCCATTTGAAGTAGTGGGCTGATTTTCTCTGGGCGGACAACTCACCTCCGCGACAGACATGATTTGCGACGCTGCGGGAGGGACTGTGACCTTCCGCGCCTCAAGTCCAGCCACTTCGGGAGGTAGGACTGGTATACAGAGTCAGCCAAGGTAGCCGAGGAGGAGCGTCTTGCTCTGGCATCCTCAACGACGTAATACGAAGATGCGTCCTCGCACTCATCTCCATCCATATTTTGACCACTGAGCTTGTAGAAAAAGGGGCATAGGAGACAAGTGAAGTTATGTTGCCAAATGAAAACTGAATTAGAATGCTTTGGAGAGATCGTTTCACAGCGGATAAGGATAAGCATACGAGCACTCTACAGGACACTCAAAAAGGGTTGAGACGAAAAACAACTTCAAGCGATAAGGAATCCATTTCACCATATTATTTCCTCTATTGGCTAATTCGAAGAAAAATCTATGGGTAACCTTATTTGTTAAACGTTTTATGGGTGAGGTCATTTTAATTTCTCACTAACCTACCACGATCAGATCCATTTAAACGATGTCAATAGACACTAAAGTTCGCCGTTATTGATGCATGCTGCATAATTACATTCTTGCAATCTCTCCTTTTTACGCATGAGATGAAAAGAACTAATAGGCTCAGCACCCAGTAAGCGAAATTGAGCAAGACAGCCACCATTTCCATTGCGCTGCCAATGAACAGTTACTAAAATCGATTGCCTTTTAAGATCAAACCACTGCGGGCAGGGATGGAAATAAAACAATGCGTCCAGCACAGTTCTGATCAGACTAGTTCCATTGTTTTTTCTGGTAATATTTTTGAAAAAAACTCAAGCCTTATATCGGACTTCAAGCACGCGGCCTGAAGAACGTATCGAGGTAGCCACACTTCTAAACTTCTGTTTTGCAAAGACTCGATATATGGGAAGTTATGAACATTATCGGAAATCAAAACCTTCCGAACAATTGCGGAATAGGCTAGTTTCTCATTGGTCTGCTTTCAAATGTACTTGTTTTTGTACATACAGTAGATGTGCTACCTCATGAAATGTCGACCAAAATTTCGAAATGCGTTCTCGTTTCGAAAAGATAAATTAAGCAGTGTTGTAAAACTAATCATGATGCAGCATAAATCTATAATGATCCAGTTACCTCAGGGTGTCGGCTTTCGAAAGAACTTATTTTTGGCTGCATGCAAGATCCATACTCTGCAAAAAATGACCACTTAATTAGCATGCAATTTTCTCATTGATTTTCGATGCCCTTGAAAATTCAATTATATTTCAAGGAAAACATGCATAAAAATATTCATTCTTTTACTTATTCGGTAGAAAATCACGTCTTCTTCCAACTTGATACTCAAAAGAAGAGTATAATTCGGTTTTAAGAAAGTTTCTAATTGTGAGAATTTTAATACTGTTAAATGGCCGTTCATGAAACGTCATGTATCTGCATTTACGAATGTGGATTGTAAAGTCGACAATATTGCTCAAATCCACTGCTTAATTTTATGAACCTCATATGGTCTCCTCCTAATGACTTAGAGAAATGCATGGTTTTCCGTACACGGAAAATATACAGCTTGTGGTTTTGAAACCCTGGATGCAAGTATAACAGCAGGTCGGGTTCAACATTATTCGGGAATTAGAAAAATTTTTTAAAACCGAATTATATTCTTCTTTTGAGTATGAAGTTGGAAGAAGACGTGATTTTCTACCGAATAAGTAAAAGAATTAATATTTTATGCATGTTTTCCATGAAATATAATTGAATTTTCAAGGGCATCGAAAATCAATGAGAAAATTGCATGCTAATTAAGTAGTCATTTTTTGCAGCGTATGGATCTTGCATGCAGCCAAAAATAAGTTCTTTCGAAAGCCGACACCCTGAGATAACTGGATCATTATAGATTTATGCTGCATCATGATTAGTTTTACAACACTGCTTAATTTATCTTTTCGAAACGAGAACGCATTTCGAAATTTTGGTCGACATTTCATGAGTTAGCACATCTACTGCATAATCAGGCTACGTTGTAATAATGTAGATCAACTAAACGTTATGAAGGCCCTTATATCAGTTTCAATTGCTAGCTTCGCTGAGTGCCTCAAATACCATAAGATATTTGTACAGCCTTGGCAAAGAGCAAAGGACAAGGCAAAAAGGACCTTCAGAACTGCCAAACAGGTCAAAACAATAGAATAAACGAGGCTTTAAATATATTAACAACGATTGTTAAAATACCTAGCTCCTTTTTATGGGCACCCCAACTTTCCCTAAGTGCTCAACCATTCAGTAAATAAGAGGAACTATGTTATCCCAAAGTTGACCTCTTTAATTGTATCGAGATCAGGAATGAAATAGAACCCCAAGTTTACTTTAGGGCTTCGGGGAGTGAGGTATAGTCTCAGCTTATTTTGGTTTCAAATGAACGAGCCACTTCTATTTAGGAGGACTGCAAATTGATTGCTAAAACAATTCCGAGTCAAAATAGCATCCTTTTTCAGTATGCTATTACCGACAAGGACAAGGGAGACTAGAATGGCCATTTCTGGCTTATTAGTCGTCGTCAGCCAGTCATAGCCAACCCCGAAGTGTG